CTCGGAATGCAAGATTTGACCAACAAAACTCCAACGTGCTGTCGAACGAACTAATTACGACCTAAGATAACTAAGGACAAAATGAATCGAAATGAATCGAAATGAAACGGGAAGAAATCCAGGCTTCTCGGCTTCGCAATGCAGTGACGTGCCGCAGAATTGGCAGAAGCGAAACCCAGCTTGTGCCTACATGACATTACATGCCACCCATCAGAGTTTTACCGCAAATTGTGCCTTTGTTTGCATCACGTTTTGGACATGGATCTTCAAAGATCAGATCTCCGTTCCGATACGTTTTGATAGGTTTGGAATGGTTTGGATACATTCGATCCTCGGCATGGCCGCACCATCCGCACCATCCGCACCATCCGCACCTTGCCACCACAATTTTGACAGAAACGCACCTGGGATCTTTCCGGCCTGGCACATGCGACGCTGACAGAGCTGACAGTGACAAACAGTGACAATCACAACAACTCACAACAACTGGCAACAGTTTCATGACATCAATCAGAAATAATCAGAATGATGACATGAATCAGAATGACATGAAAATAACCTCTTGGCACAAGTTGGCACATGTTGCGAAACGGGCCTTGACATTAAGCTCTGTTCATCGGTGTTTCCTGGCTACGTGATCTACATGGTAAAGTCGACCAAAATGGACTATGTTGGAATGGAAACAGAGCTCAATTGCCGTATGCCCCAGGCCTGTCAACCCGAAGTAGCTGGTCCTCAGCCAAGTTTACTTTCTAGGCACGCCTGCCTATTTTTTGACACCTGCAATTATTGTAATTATAATTAATGCATAATTGTTTGATTGTTGCGTAGTTATCGTTGTATGTTCGGGTTTCCGTGATTTCCGTGATTTCCGTGATTTCCTTTCCTTCACAACCAGTCACCAGTCACTAACCCATGGCTCTGCGCACCAAAACGCATCTCAAACACATGATATACAGTGATATGTTTCAGAATGATTTACAGTGAGAGATATATATATATACATATATATATACATATAGGCTATATTACATATATTACATATATCATGGTACATTATATATGTAACATCGTGTCACATGGCGCCATCGGGAAGCTCAGGCTCCAGCGTTTCGTGTGGTCGTCCCTGGCGCGCTGGCAATATATTCATCAATATTCATCTGTTATCATGGTAATATTAACATGCTAATATTAATAAGCACATTAATATCAATAAATCTGTTATAATAGATGTTGTATATATAATATATGATATGTTAATCTATTATATGAATACCATAATATTAGCTATTCATCATATACCATATTATTTCATGAACTTCACTTCCCATTCCATCTCAGTACATCAGATACACCAAATCTGCTCGTCGCACCGCACCGCCGCGGCGCCTCACCCTTCTGTCGAATCGCCATGTCAATGAGGCTGCCCTTGCAGCTCCAGCTACAGCACAGCTATGTATACTACATACATATGTTAACATATGTATATTTTTCCTCCGGCCCAATGAAGCTCCCGGATGCGGCTTGCAAAACGAAATCTGAATATGTATATATATATAAGGTACCCCCCCCCTGGTACCTACCTTTCCTTGATTTATACTGTAAATTACAGTATAATTTGCTTATTTTCATATGTTGAATTTGATAGGTTTTTTATATTGAGTTTCTTGAGACATGAGTTCAGACTTGAGTTCAGACTTGACTTCAGACTTGAGTGTCATAGTCTCGATTCCTGCTACCCAAGATCCAAGATCCAAGATTTCCAGAAAGCTTTTTATATTGAGTTTCTTGAGACATGAGTTCAGACTTGAGTTCAGACTTGACTTCAGACTTGAGTGTCATAGTCTCGATTCCTGCTACCCAAGATCCAAGATCCAAGATTTCCAGAAAGCTTTTCTTGGAAATCTGGGGATAAACCCAAGATCCAAGATCCAAGATTTCCAGAAAACTTTTCTTGGATGCACTTGCAGAATCTTGGATGCACCCAAGATCCAAGATCCAAGATTCCCAGAATTTTTTTCTTGGATGCAGGCTGGAAATCTTGGATGCACCCAAGATCCAAGATCCAAGATTTCCAGAAAACTTTTCTTGGATGCACTTGCAGAATCTTGGATGCACCCAAGATCTTGGATCTTGGGTTTATCCCAAGATTTCCAAGAAAAGTTTTCTGGAAATCTTGGATCTTGGATCTTGGGTGCATCCAAGATTTCCAGCCTGCATCCAAGAAAAAATTTCTGGGAATCTTGGATCTTGGATCTTGGGTGCATCCAAGATTTCCAGCCTGCATCCAAGAAAAATTGTCTGGGAATCTTGGATCTTGGATCTTGGGTGCATCCAAGATTCTGCAAGTGCATCCAAGAAAAGTTTTCTGGAAATCTTGGATCTTGGATCTTGGGTTTATCCCAAGATTTCCAAGAAAAGCTTTCTGGAAATCTTGGATCTTGGATAGCAGGAATCGAGACTATGACACTCAAGTCTGAAGTCAAGTCTGAACTCAAGCCTGAACTCATGTCTCAAGAAACTCAATGTGGACACGTAGTGTAGTGTAGTGTAGTGTAATGTAGTGTGGTGTAGTGTAATTGAGTGTAGTGTAGTGGAGTGTAGTGGAATGTAGTGTAGTGTAGTGTAATGTAGTGTAGTGTAATTGAGTGTAGTGTAGTGGACCGGAGTGTAGTGGAGTGTAGTGCAATGTAATTAGTGTAGTGTAGTGTAGTCTTATGTAGTTGTAGTTGTAGTTGTAGTTAGCGTGATGTAGTGTAATGTAGCGTAGTGTAGTGTAATGTCATTAGTGTAGTATAATGTAATGTGTTGTAGTTGTAGTTATAGTTGCAGTTGTAGTTGTAGTTGTAGTTGTAGGTGTAGTTCAGTGTCATTCAGTGTAGTGTAGTGTAGTGGAGTGTAGTGTAGTGGGATAGGAATATTTAAGATTTTGTGGAAGTCTGGAACCTAAAGAGTTACAGATGTTACAGTATTTGGTTGAAATATGTTGAAATCTAGAAGTGTACTCAACACTGTTGAAGGAATCCCAAAAGTGTTCTGATGCTCCATGTTTTGCCTCCAAGCGCTGGACTTGTAGGAGTTGGGAGAAATCAGGTTTTTCAGCAAAACAATGGGGTATTGCCTGTATTGCCCAACATGCAAAACTGTTCATCCAAATCCTGACTGCGTCACTGGACTTCACTTCTAACATTTTATCAACTGCGGGAACTGCGGGACTTTGACATTTGCTGACACATACATCACATTTCTTAGAGCTCAGTCCAAGGAGCGTGGTTGACACTTCCTCAGTCTGAGATTTTGGGAAGTCATGGGAAGTCAGAGCAAGCATGGGAGGGAAGAAACATCCTGAAACATCCTGAAACATCCTGAAACATCCTGAAAGCCTATTTGGAGGCAACAGCTAGCTGCAGCTAGCTATAGATACTTTTCTGAGGCAGAAATGACGTGAAGTGAAACATCGGTTGACAGGTTCGCAGAACCAAGATGAAAACAATGACTCCGCCGCAATTGTGCATGGTTTAGCAATAGAGCCATTGACCAACACATGGTTTGCTTGAACATCAAAAGTTTAACATAGTTTAACTAAGTTTAATCATGTTTACTATATACATCGGCTATATTCAGTTTATTTTGGGCACATTGGGCACAACTCCCAACTTTCCATCCATTTCCAGCCAGAAAACCTCTGGCACAACATTCGTGCAAAGTACTTGCTGTAGTTTGCCCAAGTGAGAACTTGTAACGCAGCACTTTGTGCAAAGCCTTCATAGCTTCATCCTTTTGAACCCACGCTCCCTCAAGCATGTAACCCACATGGTTCTTGCAAATGACTTGCTGCCAGCACAGATGTAGTTACGAAGAAAGGAAGGAATTAACAGTAAAAAGTAGGTATCAGGGGGGGGGTTAGCATATATATATATACAGTACAGTATATGTATGTATATGTGTGTGTATGCATGCATGCATATAACTATGTATCTATGTACGTATGTACCTATATGTATGTACGTATGTACGTATGTACGTATGTACGTATGTACGTATGTACGTATGTACGTATGTACCTATATGTATGTACGTATGTACCTATATGTATGTACGTATGTACCTATATGTATGTACGTATGTACCTATATGTATGTACGTATGTACCTATATGTATGTACGTATGTACCTATATGTATGTACGTATGTACGTATGTACGTACATGGCATCATGGTCGGAAAAACCTGTGTACGCCATGTGTACGCCATGTGTACGCCATGTCGGCCATGTCCCACCTGTGTACGCCTCCCCCCACGTCGACGCTCCGTCTTGACCTTTTGGCACCTCGAACACTTGTGGAAAGATGTCAGGATGGTGGTGTCAAGGCGAACAAAGAACAACATAGATGGAAGACATAGAACCAGTGATTGAATCACATAGAAACTGCATAGAACACGATGGAATACAACTTGAACTTGGGCTGATTTCCTTGAGTTTGGTGTGACATGCTGTGACTTGGGCAACTGGCTCACGGAGAAAAAGTGGTCGGGTCTGAGGTGCGCCTCTCATGACCTCATTCCAAAACCGGAATCCTGTGGAAGTCTCTGGAAGTCTCTGGAAGCAACAGTCGCCTTATGTTGCCTTCACGGGTCTTGGCAACAGTTGCTGGTCAGTGCTACTTAGCTGCAACTTCGACTCTTTCAGTCTTTCAGTCTTTCAGTCTTTCAGTTTCGCCTTGTCCACTTCAACACCAAGACACTCTTGCAGTGGAGTAATGAGAATAATTGGCCTGGTGAATGCCGAATGCCCATGAGTTCACTTGGGCTCAGTGGCACATCACCGCGGCCAAGTAGAGGTGTTACAGAGAAACAAGTTGAATCTAGCCAGACTTAGTTGAACGTCAGCAAAAACCTGCGAGATTCACAAATGAATAGACTCTTTCCGCAGGACTTGATGAACATGATGAACTTCATGTTGTTAACACCGTGAAAATGTTCCTTTTTTCACACATTTTTCACGGTGCATCGAAGGATATCGAAGATGTCTTTCTCGATCTCCCTGCGTTCCCATCTGCCTCGAAGCCTTGCAAGGCCGCTGGTACCACTGACACGACCTGGGCGTCACCGGACACATTCAGAAAGAAGATGTAAAATGATGTAAAAAGTTTAACACATTATGTAAACATCTTCGGACCATCGGAACACCAAAATCCAACATAATCCAACTGTTGTGTACTCTTTCTGATGAACTATACAGTTGTGATTTAATCTGTCGTAAGCCTCTATATATATAATATATCTCTCTCTCTCTCTCTCACTGTGTTTATCTTTTTGTTTTTGTAATCTGTTGGCTTCGGAAGCCCGGATTTCTCCGGATTTCTCCGGATTTCCGCCTTGTCGGAGTTGAACTTCCCCATCTTCCGCCCCTGGCGCCGGCCATGGCCATGCCATGCAGCGCCAGGCTTCACTGCGCCCGAGCCTCGTAGGCCGTGCGCATCATCCAGGCATAGCTCGGGCTGATGAAGTTGATGAACCTCAGCATAAAAATGAACATAAAAATTGAAAAAATGATGAAATATTGATGAAATATTGATGAAAAAATGATGAAATATTGATGAAATATTGATGAGAAAATGATGAAATATTGATGAAATATTGATGAAAAAATGATGAAATATTGATGAAATATTGATGAGAAAATGATGAAATATTGATGAAATATTGATGAGAAAATGATGAAAAAATGATGAAAAAATGATGAAATATTGATGAAAAAATGATGAAATATTGATGAAATATTGATGAAAAAATGATGAAATATTGATGAAATATTGATGAGAAAATGATGAAAAAATGATGAAAAAATGATGAAATATTGATGAAAAAATGATGAAATATTGATGAAATATTGATGAAATATTGATGAAATATTGATGAAAAAATGATGAAATATTGATGAAATATTGATGAAATATTGATGAAATATTGATGAAAAATGATGAATTATTGATGAAAAAATGATGAGAAAATGATGAAAAAATGATGAAAAAATGATGAAATATTGATGAAAGAATGATGAAATATTGATGAAATATTGATGAAATATTGATGAAAAAATGATGAAATATTGATGAGAAAATGATGAAAAATGATGAAAAATGATGAAATATTGATGAAATATTGATGAAATATTGATGAAATATTGATGAAAAAATGATGAAAAAATGATGAAATATTGATGAAAAAATGATGAAATACTGATGAAATATTGATGAAAAAATGATGAAATACTGATGAAATATTGATGAAATATTGATGAAAAAAAGATGAAATATTGATGAAATATTGATGAGAAAATGATGAAAAAATGATGAAAAAATGATGAAATACTGATGAAATATTGATGAAATATTGATGAAAAAGTGATGAAATATTGATGAAATATTGATGAAAAAATGATGAAATATTGATGAAAAAGTGATGAAATATTGATGAAATACTGATGAAAAAATTATGAAATATTGATGAAATATTGATGAAAGAATGATGAAAAAATGATGAATTATTGATGAAAAAATGATGAAAAAATGATGAAATATTGATGAAATATTGATGAAATATTGATGAAATATGATGAAAAATGATGAAATATTGATGAGAAAATGATGAAAAAATGATGAAAAAATGATGAAATATTGATGAAATATTGATGAAAAAATGATGACATATTGATGAAATATTGATGAGAAAATGATGAAAAAATGATGAAAAAATGATGAAATATTGATGAAAAAATGATGAAATATTGATGAAATATTGATGAAAAAATGATGAAATATTGATGAAATATTGATGAGAAAATGATGAAAAAATGATGAAAAAATGATGAAATATTGATGAAAAAATGATGAAATATTGATGAAATATTGATGAAATATTGATGAAATATTGATGAAAAAATGATGAAATATTGATGAAATATTGATGAAAAAATGATGAAATATTGATGAAATATTGATGAGAAAATGATGAAAAAATGATGAAAAAATGATGAAATATTGATGAAAAAATGATGAAATATTGATGAAATATTGATGAAATATTGATGAAATATTGATGAAATATTGATGAAATATTGATGAAATATTGATGAAATATTGATGAGAAAATGATGAAAAAATGATGAAAAAATGATGAAATATTGATGAAAAAATGATGAAATATTGATGAAAGAATGATGAAATATTGATGAAATATTGATGAGAAAATGATGAAAAAATGATGAAAAAATGATGAAAATTGATGAACTATTGATGAAATATTGATGAAAAAATGATGAAAAAATGATGAAATATTGATGAAATATTGATGAAATATTGATGAAATATTGATGAAACATGGATGAAATGTGATGATAATGAAAAAAAAGCAGAGCAAATGAGCAAAAAGAAAAGATGAGAAGGTGAACACACTTCAAATGAGAAAATATGGCAAGAATTGGAACTGGCAAGCAAACAATCACAAATCATGTGTCCATCTGTGGAAATGGCACCCGTCATTTCAACATCTTCTTGGTTTGCTGGTTGCTTGGCTTTCCTTGCTGAAATCCTAGCGTGAAATCCGATGCAAAACTACCGAAATGCGACTCGAAATGCCATGTCTGTCGTGTGGATTTCTTTGGTCGCTTGAGTTCCAAGTGCCCTGATTTCAGGACCCAGCGCATAGCCACGGTTGGCGTTTGTCTCCGGGTCAATCGGAAGATACAAAAAGTCATAGGTTCCAGAAAATCCTGGTGCAAAGGAATCCAAGCGTGCCAATCGAGAGCCAGACTAAAATCACCTTCCTAAAGTTTACATGGTGTTAGTTTCTGTGTTTCTTTTTTCGTTTCTGTGGCCTCTTCCCCATCTTCTCACAGGGTCCGGTGCCAGACGGTGAATCAATGCAAGATGAATCAAGTCACCATGCATCTCGTGCAGGGTCCTGCGCTGTTCAACTCGTCAATCAGCATCTGCTGATTGTATTTGTTGGGCAAATTTCTGGCCTTGTGCAGCACCACTGAAGCACACCACCGAAAGGATTGGGAATGCTCGGAATGTCTCGGAATTGCTCGAAAAATGCTCGAAAAATGCTTAGGGCTGAGCCATCACAGTGGTTGCACCTTGGGGAAACACCAGAAACAGCAGCAGTGCCAAGAACAGAAATACCGTCGGCTGCGTTGACATGCGGGTAGCGTGGGTAGGGTGGGCCCCGGAAAAGCTCAAGAAACAATCAAGCAGAAACCAAATGCTACCGCAAGCAGGAGACAGCTACTGACTGTGTCGAACAAGTCGAACGAGATATACATGCCGCTATACATACGCATATATAGAATTGTATAGAATAGATGTAGAATGGGGTGGAGATATGTGGAAAAAAATGATTATGATTGTGACTGTGTAATCATATAATTTTGTATAATAAACACGTGTGAAGGTCTCGAAAGCACTAAGTTGTCTCAAAGCGACTCTGCCAGTTCGAAGGGATCTCAATCTCTGCATTCTGTGGCGAAGTTTGTCGTGAGCTGCGTGGTGAAGCCTGGCACTGGCTCCGGTGGCCAGGACTGTCTGCTGTGTTTGGTGAATTCATAGGTATACTAAGTTGAACTTAATTATACTTTACTGGAGTTATCATTTGTTGGCAAACATTGCTTCATGTATGTATGTGCGCTCTGTGTACGTGAAAAATATTGAAAACAAATAATATTATAAATAAATAAATATATATAATATATATATATATGTGGTGTGCATGCATGTATGTAATATATAAAAATGTGTGTGTGTATGCATGTATGCACATATAATATCCATATGTTTATAAAGTTTATATTTGCATCTTTATAATACACACGTTATCTTACATTTACTTATTCAAATTATTCATCTATCTGTTTTTTTGCTTACTTATGTGTTCAGCATACACACTACGCCACTACGCTGTATGTGATGAAAGTTATGAAAACCTGTCCGTTCAGGCCTGCATGGATGGCGTCTCGCCCCAAGGAAGTGTGGTGCCGCCTGCACCACTTCGGCCACTTCCCGGGAAGGACGCGTCGCTTACTTCGGTTTTGATGAAGTTCAGGTGGAAGTCCTGAACAACTCGAAATTCGCCCAAAATCTACCAAGGAGTCCTTGCCAGTTGCCATGTGACAACATGGTCCTTGCCCATCTGCAGCACTTCACCTGACGAATTACAGGAGAGAATCGGAGAGAGGGTGAAGATGATGATGAAGCGTATCGACATGGCAAGTCACTGTTTGATCTAAAAAACTGTTCCGGAAACAACAGGTTCATCACGCACAAGAATGCGTATGCCGTGTTCGAAAAGACGGCGATGGAAAGAAGTAAGGAAAGAAGTAAGGACACTGAAAACAGCTGCTCTGACTCAAGAAAGCGCAAGAAAGCGCAAGAAAGTGCTCGGAACGGGGAATCAAAATCATCAAATTTATCAAATTTCCATATCGCAGGATGCACAGGATGGAACGGATCCTGCCCGCCTGCTGGCGCCTCTCCTGGAACCAAACTGGTGAGATCTGGTGAGATCTGGTGAGGTGACGTGTTTTTCACAATGATCTTTTCAGCATTGAGAAATTGAGAAACTAGACTGGAAAGTTTAATAACATGTAGTTATACCAGTTATACCCAAATTTATTTTAATAACATGTAGTACACACATTGGGCGATGCCCTAAAGTGACTATATAAATTCGTCTCTCAGGGACATCTTTCCGAAGACCCGGAGGCTCCTGGATACTCCTGGTAGGACTGGTAGCCAGCATCGAACATCATCTTCCCAGGCATGAAGGTTTGCATGGCGACTCCGCCACATCCATTCGGGTAGTGCCACAGTATGTTTGAGCCATCGCTATTTATGCTCGGCATGAGATAGTTCGATGACCTCGGAGATCATCGTGAACGCCCCCATCGCTGCCATCAATCCATCGTCATGGCCAACAAGATTACAAGACCCTAACTTTACAATACTTTCATATGGGGGTTAGTACATTTTTTTAGTTGCTGAGCTAAAACTAAAAATGTCAAAATATTATTCTCATATATATCATATATATTTATGAAGAACCGAGCCAGCTACACATTGGAAATGTTTAAAATAGTTTTTTTCCATTGTTTTATCATTTTGGTTATCATTGCATTCATCATTTTTTATGATTTATTTTATCATCTTCATGTTTTTAATCATTTCAGGTATCATTTTTTTATCATTTTTTTAAAAACACTTTTTCATTGTTTATCATGATTTTCATTTTTTTTTATCATGTTTCATCATTTTTGCTTCCAGTGGTGCAAAAATTTTCCACAAAATGGAAAATTGCAATTTTCCTCGAGTTTTTTTCATATGTTTATCATTTTTCATGTTTTTTGATCAGTTTTCTTCATTTTTGCTTCCAGTAGTGCAAAAAATTGTCCAAAAAATGGAAAATTCCAATTTTCCTCCAGTTTTTTTCATTTTTTAATCATTTGTTTATCATGTTTTTAATCATGGTTCATCATTTTTGCTTCCAGTGGTGCAACAATTTTCCAAAGAATTGAAAATTGCAATTTTCCTCGAGTTTTTTTTTAATCATTTGTTTAAAAATTGTTTATGTTTTTTTTATCATTGTGTTATCATTTTTTATCATTGTTCATCATTTTTGCTTCCAGTGGTGCAAAAATTTTCCAAAAAATGGAAAAGTGCAATTTTCCTCGAGTTTTTTTTCATTTTTTTATCATTTTTTTACTTTTTTCTTCATTTTTGCTTCCAGTGGTGAAAAATTTTCCAAAAAATGGAAAATTGCAATGTTCCTCGAGATTGTTTCATTTTTTATCATGTTTAATCATTTTTTATGTTTTTTTAAATCATTTTTTGATCATGCTTTTATCATTTTTCATCATCGTTGCTTCCAGTGGTGCAAAAATTTTCCAAAAATGGAAAAGTGCAAGTTTCCTCGAGTTTTGTTTTCATTTTTTTTGACTCCAAGTCACGCAATTCCACTTTTGTGGCCAGATGCAATCTTGCAGGTTGGTTAATGAAACTTCTCACAGCGATACATGCATCATTTGACGCATGAAGGGAAACATGCCTCCCGATGCCAGCAGCTCAAAAAGAGGTCACAACAGGCATTCAAAAGAGCGTGGCATGTGGCATCTACTCCCCCCGGTGATGTGGTGGGGATGGTGGTGGAGCAAACAGATGTCACTTGAGATTAAAACCACGGCCCAACTGTTTCATGCTAAACGAGTCAATTTCCTGCAAAGCAGATCAGAATGACTCCAAGTCACGCAATTCCACTTTTGTGGCCAGATGCAATCTTGCAGGTTGGTTAATGAAGCTTCTCACAGCGATACATGCATCATTTGACGCATGAAGGGAAACATGCCTCCCGATGCCAACAGCTCAAAAAGAGGTCACAACAGGCATTCAAAAGAGCGTGGAATGTGGCATCTACTCCCTTACCCGCAAAGCGATCTGGTTAGGTGACTATGGAAGATGTCAGCTAAATGGGCCACAAGTTGAAAGGGGTATGGTTGTGCAATTAAAGTCATGAAGCGACCATCAGGCGCCAACCCTTTCAACGGGATATGTCGTCTACCAGAGTGGCTGCACTTTTGAAAAGTTCCTTGACACTGTTTACAGACACTACTAAGGTCGACGAAGGCAGCTAAAAGTGTGGTTGGCTTCTTCCACGCCTCTCCAAACTGGCAAAAATGCAAGACATTCGCGGTCATCAGTCCAGAAGCTTGCAAGACTTGCAAGATGGGTGTTTGCCAGCAAAGGGAAGTCTCAGGGTTTTCCAACACTACGGGAATGCGAAGGCGCAGACATGCCCACAAGATTCTCATGCTAAACCAGTAAAGATTATTTCCAGTGATTAGCTTAGCTCTTTCACGACCTCGCAGCCAAGGTATGCCCATGACATAATTCGCATCTCGTAGCGGGGGTGGACCGATACCATCCCATCGTCTAGCTCGACTGAAAGTTGTGCATGGCATGCCCAACCAAACTAGCTGAACTTTCTGGTTGAAAAGAAGATCAAATATTTTCTTTTCATTTCTTTTCCACATCAGGGTCTAAAACATCATCATGGGGATCCAAACAAACATCTATGCTATAGCATCGAAGTCCACGCTTTTGTAGAGCTCGTGTAAGACGGCGGCACCCAGCAAAGATCTCAAGACAGAATTCACCAGTCGCTTCTCGCCAGTTGTTGTCATGGTTCAAATGCTCAGGGGGGGTGTGATCCCCTTCAACACTGCTTCCATCTTGACCATTGACCGGCGGCAGTAGCTGAGGCTCCACTCTGGCAACTGCTGCAACAGGCTTTGAATCTTCCCTGTCTTGGCATATCTTCTGACTGAACTGTCGGTCCGCCATCTGCCACGGTCTTTGACTCCTGCATGATCTCGATGACCTTTGCACAAGTCGTCTGACGCCCCTCCGTGACGCAGCTGGTACAGATGAAGTGACTGCAACCCAAGAAAGGATCCTGCCTTTTGAAATTCCTTCCGGCACTTGTCCGCCGGAAAGTTGAAGAGCACATCGCTTGGCGTCCGATTTTTCACCAAACTCCCCAACATGGGCCCCAGCCAAGTCTGAGTCTCCGGATTGTCCAGATTCAAAGAGTTGCTGTAGACTCCTGTCTTGTCGGGCACCCCTTCCTCTTGGTCGCGGATCACCAAGGTGTACATCCTGTATTGTCGCCCCGTCCCATGAACCGGGCTCACCAGATTTTTCACTAAGAGGTCTGACGTCTCCCCCGGTCTGAGGTACGTGTCGAAGCTCAGGAGGACTGCTAGTGCCATCTCGCGATGACCTTGCTGCAGCAGTCTCATAGCTATCCCGTACACCACAGGTCTGGGCAAGGGAAGCCTGGATTTTGGGGGACGAAGTTTTCTCCACCCCCTCAAGGCCCGTCTGCTGCGGGGAAGCTTGCCTTTCAAGTTGTGATACTGGAACTCCAAGGCTGCCAGGGTCTTTTCTCCTTCGGCTGCACTTTTGAGGGAACTTTGATCCGTTCTCCACACAAAAGGCCCTGAAGTTGTTCAGGTAATGGTGGTACCGATTCTCCTGCTCGACACTGATACTGTTTCTCTCCAGCATTGTAAGCTTCCCTTGCTGCGCTCTCTTACCAGCTGTTCCTTCCACCTCGATGCGATGGCTGGTAACCAGCCTTCTCTCGGCAACTTTCTGTTTCTTCACCACCACTGGCTTCACCTTCTTCTTCACCTTGGGGGACGAAGGCATGACCAGAAATCCGGTCTCCTGCTTCGCCCTCTTTTGACAAGATGTGCTTGAAGTCGCTGACAACTTTACCTTCTTTGATGTAGCCAGCAACATTGGACCCACGCGAAGGAGCGTCTGCAACGTTGAGCTCAGACGGTATCCACCTCACTGAAATAGCCAAATTGGCTGCCAGAAATAGGGCACCGATCTTCTGGTTGAGTCTTAGCATAGCATGGTTGCAACTTCGCCCCTTTCCTGCACTAAATGCCAGAGCCATATTGTCAACGAGAACAAGGTGTTTTCGCCCCCTGTTCTTGGAAGATCGTGAAAGCCTTCTGACCACAAGCAAAAGAGACCTAGCTTCCTTCAAGATGATGTGCTCGTCTTTGTACTTCCATTGTCCATTCAAAACCACCTTCCATTTCTTTGGATCTAAACAGCTAACAGGCACCTCCTCAAATTCTTCATTTCTAACAAACTGATCTGCCACTTCAGCAGCTTGCGGATCAGCCCTTGCTGTTTCGACATCAAAAAAACGGGTCAAAGTTCAGAGCTCTATCCCTAGGTTTCCACTCTTCCGGCGGTGTGCGCTTATACCGCCATCTTTCATGCCATTTTCCAATGCTTTGAACTTGGTCACAATCCATGGCTGTTTCACAAATGCCATAGCCATCAGGTGAAGCATCACTACAAGTTACTACTTCATTCCATTCTTTCCTCATATCACCAACCAACAAAGGAAGAATACCTATGAAAATTTTACATTCCCGCTTGGCACTCCTCCACAACATCTTCCGAACAAAGTCTTGGCCTGCAAAGTCGTACATGCTTCTGAAGACGCTGATTCCTGCACGGTTCAAAACCAACGCAACCATAGCATGTCCTAGAAGCCTACGTGCAAAATCGGAAGAGATTGGATGGTTTATGGCATAGTTGAAGGCATAATGCAAATTCCACATCCTCTCTGAAGTGGGTCGCACCACTCCCTCATCGCCATCAATGATTCCCCCCAAAGTAGGGAAAAATGTGGTGGCTGACATCTGCTCGTGCATCTCAAATCCCCAGTCCAACAAAGTATTCTCCAACTTCTCTCTACCTATCTCAGCCTTTTCACCCTCCAGACTAAGTGCATGGGTGCTGTCACAGTAGGGCATCGAAACCACATCGTGCCTGCAAAGGTCTGGCGCAGGCCTGGCATCGAGCACAACGCTTGCACTGGTAGTGTTAAGGCTTTTGATACATCCTTGTACGTGTAGGGCTTGGACTAGGTAGAAGGACCAGCTGAACCCCATGGGAAATACAGAGATACATGGGCTGTAATCACCAAAGTCATTGTCCGTCAATTAGCTATCGGCATCATCCCCCAATAATGACCTCATCTCATTGCCATTCAAATCCCAACAGAGACAAAAGAAATCTTGTAGAACTTCTGGAAGACGACATGCATAGAAGCAATCTTTAATATCACCGCCAGCTACATACAACTTCTTGTCCTTAGGGTTGTGAATATATCTGCCACTGCTGGAAGTGAACCAAGTTCTGTGGTAGGGGGAGCTCTGAAGGCTAAATTGACCTGTCTGCAGTCCAAAATCATCCTTTGTCGCGGCACCATCACCCCGTCGACCAGCTTGCTCTTTTTGGAAACACAGAAACATCCTACTCGCCACCTAGGTTTTCTAGAGAAGGAAAGTATACCAGCATCCCACAATTTTCGCAGGAATTCAAGGTAAAAGGATTTCTTGTGCAAACCAGGGTCATTATAGTTTCGAATGCTTCCAGCTTCTTCTGACAACCAACTCCAATTGCTCGGATCCTGCAGCATCAAGCCCTCCGGATCAGCAAGAAACTCTCCAGCTCTCCCTTCAAGCACCTCTGAGACCTGAACACCGCGGTGTCCCATCGAAGGCAGAGACAATTGTTCAAGTTTCATTGGCACCACTTCGCCAACGCTGGACATAGAGCCCCCATAAGGACTGCCAGCAACGCGGAGCGCATGAATGGCTCCTGCGCAACTTGCATTTGGAGGTGGAGGACCTGCAGACGCCACCCTCTTCAGGATGAACTTCAAGGTCTCACGCTGCCCCTGAGGCAATTTCTCCAAATCATTGACATGCTGCACAAAGGGGTTGTCAAAGCCCAAGTAAAATGAATTCAAAGATGAAACGGCCAAATTCACTCTCCTTTCAAGATGAATCCTTCTGTGCACGCGCCTCTTGACGCTCCTAGACACCGATTGCGGGCGCTCCAGCTTCTCTACATACAAGCACGGCAATGGGAAGAGATCCCGATTTCTAGCCATGGCCTGCAACTGGAGCCTCAAAGCAGTGATGCCTAAAATGCAGGCTGAACAAGAGCACAAGGGGAAACCGCCTGCTAGCTGCCCCACTCCACAAGGGCTACTTTTTCCCGCCCCCCCCATCAGGCTTGGGGGAGGCAGGAATATCTTTGCTCTTGCCCTTTCCTTTGCTCTCCTTGGACTATTTCAATTTCCTCTTCTCCTTCAAGATCTGCGAATCTTCATGCATTCTCCTAGAGACATGTTCTGACAGTGAGGGAACCACTATGCCCCCCCCGGGTCGGTAGCGCATGCCCATAAAGTAATCGCTGGCTTCATAGCTAGGCGCCGAAGGATTCCCCACATGGGCCTCCGCCAGTAATTGCTTTCTACGAACCAGCATCTCCATACAGGCTAAATTGCAGACATTCAGAGCGTCATACTTGATGGCTGTGTCTATGATACGACTGAGCACCTCGTCCTCGAAGATAGCCCGGTCTCCCTCAGGAATCCGGGACTGCTGCACCCAGGCCAAGTGCTGCCCATAGCAGCTCTCTGCTATCTCACCCACCGCCTTCAAGTATTCTAGGCATGTTCTTGGCTCCAGAGGAAAGTCCTCAAATTCACACTGCTGCATCTGCTGAATCGTGGACTTAAAGTCTCGAGAGCGTTCACCATTTGCTCCATAAGTCACCGGCATGATACGCACATCCGGAGCCACCAGGTTGTCTTCTCCATGCAAAGACTCCATGATTCTAGCCCTCTGAATGATCTTTTCGCAGAACTCACCCAAGTCATCGTTTTTGACTTTCTCAACCCGAACAGTGAAAGACGACCCTTCATCATCTAGGACTGCAAGAAGACCATGCTTTCCATCTTGAGAAACAATGGTGGGCACTGCCATCTTTTCACCCACCTTGTGCCTGGAACCATCTCGCAAAGAACCCAGCTATCTTCCGCAGGGTCACCTGCTGGGCCAGCGGCTGCAGGGACAGGAGGGGCAGAAGGCACAGGGTGCCCCGCGGGTCCCCGTCGAAGCAATTCTGCCTCGGCCTCTCTCCTGCCCCTTGCCTGCAACATGGCATGTTCTTGTCCAGTCATAGCACCAAAAGCATAAACTTGACCTCGTGGAATCGCTCTAGGCAGGCGCCCATCAGGAACATGCCATAAAGACGAAAAGTCTGGATTCGCTTCACAAAGGTCTTCAACATAAACGTCTCTGTCAGGTGTAGCAATGACCCAATTGGTTCCGTCTACTTGTGACAAGGCTAGACGCGCATGGACAACACCAGGGTATCCTTGATAGCGTACGTAACGCAGGTCTCCACTCTGAATCGCCATCCTACTGATCTACAATCTCCAGGCCTCTCAGTGGACCGTACTGCCCTTTTCCAGATTTTCCCTTGAAGCCAAGCCCAAACTCAGTTCTGTGAATGTCAGTTTTGCGGAGAAAGAACCAAACCCCGCAAATCAAGTTGCAAAGAACAGATAAGGACAATAGTAGCCCAAGGTTCACCCAATGTCCAGATTCACTTGCCTTAGTCTCGGGAAGATTGCAGGAACAATGGCACTGACAAGGGGCTTGTTCGACTCGTCCAGGAACGGTTGCCCACCAACCCAGAAGGATGCCAGATACCCCGTAGGAGAGCGCGTAGGGGTCCATGGGAAAAGCAAACAGATGTCACTTGAGATTAAAACCACGGCCTAACTGTTTCATGCTAAACGAGTCAATTTCCTGCAAAGCAGATCAGAATATATTTTTTTCATTTTTTTAATCATGTTTTTATCATTTGTCATCATTTTTGCTTCCAGTAGTGCAAACATTTTCCAAAAATGGAAAATTGCAATTTTCCTCGGTTTTTTTTCATTTTTTATCATTTTTTTAATCATTTTTTTAATCATGTTTCATCACTTTTGCTTCCAGTGGTGCAAAAATTTTCCAGAAAATGAAAAATTGCAATTTTCCTCGAGTCTTTTTTCATTTCTTTAATCATTTTTCTTTTTTTTCATTTTCATCATTTTTGCACCACAGGAAGCAAAAATGATGAAACATGATTTGAAAAAATGATAACAAAATGATAAAAAAAGCATTAAAAAATGATTAAAAATGAGGAAAAAAAAAGAGGAAAATTGCAATTTTCAATTTTTTGGAAAATTTTTGCACCACTGGAAGCAAAAATGATAAAAAACAATGATTAAAAAAATGAAAGGATGATAAAAAAAATGAAAAAACGAGGAAAATTACAATTTTTCATTTTTGGGAAATTTTTTGCACCACTGGAAGCAAAAATGATGAAAAATGATTTTAAAAAAATGATAAAAAAAATGGAAAAAAAAACTCGGGGAAAATTGCAATTTTCAATTTTTGGGAAAATTTTTGCACCACTGGAAGCAAAAATGATGAAACATGATAAAAAAATGGAAAAAAAAGTGAAAAAAAATGAAAAAATGATAAAAAAAATGAAGATGATAAAATAAATGATTAAAAAAATGATGAATGCAACGATAACCAAAATGATTAAAAAATGAAAAAAAAACTATTTTGACCTGGCCCAGTCTGTGGCTGCAAGTTTTTCATAAATATATATATATATAATTAGTTATATATATATATGCAACTTATAGTTTTATCTCATATAGATTCATAAATGTTCATAATGTGTGCCTTGTTACTCTGCGGTCTTTCGTATTTTGGTGGCTTGGTCCCCGGCATCTCCGGCTCGGCGTTCGAGATGGAATTCCTGGCCACGGAACGCTCCTCTGCACATCGCCAACGTCGAAACAGGGCGGCGGCACCACTCTGCGGAGTATCCTGAAACCAAAAACGGCATGGATTCTTCACAGGGATGATAAACCACCAAGGCTCACCAAGGCATCTAAAATATCCAAATGCTCACAGCTCAACCAAGCAATGCTTTAAATTCCCTCCTGGCTGACATTCTTTGGCTGGACATGGGAGAAAATCCAGATCGTCGCCCGTCACAACCCGTGGCATCTGCATCATGGGCATCACACCATGCCAAAGGATCACACCAAAGGGTTTGGTGCGAGTCGGTTTGGCAACGCGGCAACTGAAATTTTGACTCAACATCAATCGTTTCAACATCTGAAAGGCTCGAAAGACTGAATAACGAATGACCCAGCTGCAATCTCACAAAATATTTCGCATATATCATATATATCATATATATCATATATATCATATATATCATATATATCATACATATATATATATCATATATATCATATATATCATATATATCATATATATCATATATATCATATATATCATATATATCATATATATCATATATATCATCATATATATCATATATGTATGTATATCATATATATATATATGTATATCATATACCTCATCCATATCTCATCCATATATCTCCATATCTCTCCCCTATTTTGGACCTTCTCCGGTGATTCACACCGCGAGCCGGCCTCAGCCGCTCGATCTCTGAAAGTAAGCGAATCGAGAGTCGAAACATAACTTACTGTGTAAAATCCACCGCAAAAACGATCTGTTTAAAGATGGATAGGCAAGGCCACTCAGCGCTGCACTGACACAGGCCTCAATTTTCAGAAGCATGAAGACCATGAAGAAATATGTATAACACAAATGATGTGATGTAACTAGCACAATTACATATGATTACATGATTGCTACGTGGTGCTTCTGGAAAACCCAGAGGGAACCGGTTTGGATGAGGATCTCGTCTGAAATGCAGAAATTTGTCGCCATGGTTTTGCTGCCTTGATCTGCCTTGCAACATCTGTTGATTTCCTTCAGTGCTGCCAAGAGACACAATCAGGTGATCCTAGCACAAACGCAGGAGGAAGGAATGAACCGATATCGAACTAAAAGTTAGTAAAGCGTCCAAGTCGCTGGACTCAAAGTAGCACGCTGCAGGAAAACCCAGGCAAATGGTCAAGAAAAACATAGGAAAACATGGGAAAACTATGTCAAGGCAAATGTTTTGCAGCTACGTTGTGTTCAGCACCAGCTACGCCGCTACGTTGAGTCCGGTTCAATCCTCTGAATCCACACCAGGCCAATGGGTTCACAGCAAAGTTGCCGATCGCGAAACGAAAGCGATCAAAAACTGAAAGACCTTGGGGTACCAACAGGACACAGGACGTTAATTTCGTAGATAACTAGAAGTTAATTTCGTAGATAACTAGAAGGAACGTGAGGAAACCACGGGATCCCACCTTGAAATCAACTTGTCGGGTCGCTGGTTCTGATTGTTGCCTCGCGACAACGTAGCAGAGTGCTCAGCCTCTCTGGGATTCACAAGGCGGCAAGGAATGTTCTCCCTATTTTTAGTCCCCTTCAATTGTCCCAGGCCTTTTGTGAAAAGCGAATTCCAAACCCTCATCCTGGCATGGCACTGGCTCACAAGATGGCAGCCAAGAATGATGAACGCATGATGTTTAAAATTTTAAAATATGTTCTATCTCTCAAACTGTTCACGGACAAAAATGCAACAAAAAATGTCGTGCCAATCCCAGGCAACAAATGCCCACCCGAAACTGACGGACCGGGCCAAGTCCAAAAATGTATTTTTCACCTGGCGGGGTAAATTACAACAAGCACCAAGCTGACCAAGCTGGTAAATCCATGTTGAACCACAACATACACATCCTTGCATCAGGTCCTGCCTGAAAAACCTGCGCCATCACAGCAATTTTTTGATTGAAAACCGGCCGCCAACCTGTCGCATTGGTGGTGCACGTCGTTGTTTCGGGATTCATTTTTTTGCACGAAGGGGGAAAGAAGAACAGATCATGAATGCGCATGCGATTTTCATAAATCCAAGTCACCGACTTGATGGTCGGGGTTGCAGAGATGCTACTGTTTGAGCAAACAGGAAGCAAACCATTCACCAAACATGCCGTTCCACAGGCCATGATGCAGGTCGGCACATATGCCTTCAGCATGATCTGATATCATGTGCCATTTTTCCTAAACAAAAGTATCGCTTTCAAAAAAAATATGTTCCATCCCATCAACCAGTCATACTTTGAGTTGGCCCACAGCTATTTGCAGAAACATCCTAACCGCTCAACACGGGTTGAACTCGACCACCATTCAGCACTGCGCCTCAAAAAGGTAAAGGGATCAGCCACGCACACAGATCCCGCTCAAAGGCGTTACACAATATCAGGTCAGCCATGAACACAGTCTATTTTGCTTTTCGCCAAGCAAGTACACAGACGCAGCACCCTGATGGTTGATGTTAAACCAAGTATATAAATAAAAAGGTACGACACCTTAATTAAGGGTTTCTTTGATTCATCGAGAAGGTGCACAACTGCAACACCTTAGGTTTCCTACGTCTAACCAACAAGGTACACAGGTATACCGAAGGAAATTTAGAAGTCAAACTTCCGACAATGGAGAGGTGTTTACCGACTGATGGAAAAGGAGAGCTGGCAAGAGTCAGAGAAGAGACCCGCAGACAACACAAACTCAAAGAAGAGAAAGGGTCAGAAGAAAGAAAATGCAAGCGCGCGAGAAGGTAAACAAGTCGCGAAACACTGTGTCTTTCCAATGTTTTGTGCCTCGGGAGGGTCAAAAAGTGGGTTTGCTAAAGCGGCGGGTGCGGAACCATCTGGTGAGATGAGGGATCAAAAATTGCACGCCATCGTGGCGCGAACGGATTTAAAAATCACAAAATTAAAACTTCACGCCCAGAACAATTTTGGCAGTGGGGACGTCGAAAAAGTGAACGCCCTTGAGGCGCGAAACACATCTGGAAGTAAAAACGTTAAAAACACCTCAATGCGGGAATGCTTTTTGAAGTTGAAATGCCCAACAAAAAACACGCCGTTAAAAGCGCTAAAAACACTACATGTTCGGACCGCTTTTGGAAATTCAAGCGCCGTTTTTGCGGCAGCAGGCGTGGCCCAGGTGTTGGAATGCTGGATGAATTCTCAGTCACAACTGTTGGTCTCCCCTCGGGGCCAAGGAACCAACCAGACTGCACATCAACGGCCGTAGTATCGTCTGCAGGTTGTTGTTGATTGGGCTGCTTGGCAGGTGTTGCAGGCGATGCGGGCATGTCCGCAAGCTGCTTCTGGCGTCTTGTTCTTGGCATTGCTGGCACAGGAACTTCAGCTGTTAGAGTTTCAGGTGCTTCAGGTAGAGGTGGTAGTGGAAGAGGCACAATCGCCAGAGGCTGATCACCAATTGCTTGAGGTTGCCCAGCGGGATCCAAGACGATCCGATCTTCCAAAGCCGCAGGTGCGGGTGCACGATGGTCATGTGCAGCGGCATGCTTGGCCGTCAAATCCTCCGCTGACCTCAGCATTCAATTCGTAGATCTGCCATTGATGGTGTCCAAAGTTCTTCGCCTTCGACACCATGTAGTTGCTCCCTTGCCACTTGTACCACACGCCCTCGGCGATTTCGCAGCCACACCGACCCAGTGGGAGTCGGGTCAACGCCGATGACAATGCCTTGACGATAGCCCTCTGCAGTGCCTTCGCCATCACGCTGGCTCTTTTGGTTGAAGTATGCCACTTTGGCGCCAGCTTCCACAGGACCTCTCCATGGCCTGGACTTCGGAAGCAAAGCTTTTCTCAAAGCCTCAGGATGCTCGAACTGCAGGTACTCCATCATAGCTTGGTGTCGGACTGCCTCAATGCGTCTATGGCGCTCACAGTCCTGACCTCCTTGGCCTCTATGGCATCTGGCTCGGAGAGAATGGAGTTTCTGCCATGGGCCCATTGACAACAAGGTGAAGCACCAGAGCGTCTTGCCAGCGAATTCTTTGCGAAGCAAGCCATGTTTGCCAGCATCTGCATTTCATATGCCGTAGTTGCGGCAAACTGGTTCACCAAGCGTTGCATGATGTGCTTCACACCTTGTCCATGCGTTCAGCTTTGCCAAGTTGATAATGAGCATCTTGCGGACAAATCGCACCTTGACACCATCTTTGACACCAGCTTGCGCTCCAGCAACCTGAAGTGTCGAACGAAGGCTGTGATGCTCTCGCCCTGGATTCTGGATGCGCCCAATGGACTCGTATTCACAAATCACTCCGATTTGTCTGAAAGGTGGACGTTCTCCAAAAGATTCATCCAAGTTTTTCAAGAGCAAGTGGATGCCATCATCCACGTTGTTCCTAGTGTCTGGCACTTCAGACAACCCGAGCTCAGCCTCGCCACGCAGCTGCTCTCGATGCCACAACCAGGCAACGACCAGTAGACTGGCTGACGCTGACGGCGCCGCTGGTTGGCGACATCTCTTCTTCCTCAAGGTAGTGGTGGATGGAAGTTTTGACGGAGACGGCAGCTCTCTACGATCAATGGCGCTAAGGGCACCGGCCGCACCACGCTCAGAGCCATATCTGAGGCTGGAGCAAAGGATCGTCCCGATGCTTCTCAAGTCAATGCCAGAGGCGATCAAGGTGGTCTGAGGAAATGGCGAAAAATGAGAAACCGGGCCATAGAACTTCAGCTGACTTTGCCGGATCTGGTCATCTTGACAGGCATCCTCGGGAAGTACACGGACAACCTTGGGAAGCTGGAAACTGGCATATCGGCAGGCGTCAAGAGTTGGCCGTGGATGTAAGGCCTACACTGTTGGCGGTGGAGCAGTATGCTGAGTACCTGCAGTCCGAAGCCAAGGAGATCAACCGTCGAGTTGGTCTCAAGGCCTATATGGAGCCAGGACCGCATGGTATTTTTCCCGAGAGCGTCTGAGCGGAGGGTTCTTCCAATAGTGGGGGTCTGTATCTCATCTTCTCATCTTCACACCTTCTCATCTTCACATCTTCTCTCACACCTTCTCATCTTCACATCTTCTCTCACACCTTCTCATCTTCACACCTTCTCGTCTTCACATCTTCTCTCACACCTTCTCATCTTCACATCTTCTCTCACACCTTCTCATCTTCACATCTTCTCTCACACCTTCTCATCTTCACATCTTCTCTCACACCCTCTCATCTTCACATCTTCTCTCACACCCTCTCA